TTTGTTTTAAGAAAAAGAGAGCAAGTTTCTTTTGACTTAAAACGTAATCGAGCTCTGCTTATTGTACAGCATCACCATGAACGCGCGGTATACGAGCCAATGAAATAACAATATCACTGAAACGATAGCGCAAAACGAATCCATCTGCAACTGAACTTCCCAAACGGAAGGATAACTACAAATTTAGACAATTTTTTCGTCATCAATCATGAGATACAAACAAATATCTACGTAGATTTTATGTGTTTGCAAACTCAAGAATCTTTTTGAACAATGTACTATAAAAACTTTAGCATTTAGAGAATCAAACTAAACAACAATGAATGTTATAGTCAAAATTTCGAAATGAGATCAGCAAATCTCTAGATCTAATACACATAACAATATTATGTTCTGAATATTGCTAAACTCTTCTCAACCAATTCAAATGTAAACCATCGCTTGGTGGCAATTTTCGCACATTTTACACACATTCATCTTGAATGCAAATAAAATGCAAAATTCAACTCAAATATTGACCCAATGAAAATTATAATTGAACGCATTGTGTTTTATTTCAATTGAGTAAGTTTTTCAGATGGTAATTTACGTGCTTTTCTGAAGGTGAGTCTTGTCATCATGGTGTAATATTGCATTGTATGGAATTTTCATCATAAATTACAGTTGTATGTTTGATACACTAAAATTTCGCGCTTCTCACATCAATACTAATGCATACGGTCTAGCGTCAATATCGCTAACACACAACCGAAGCGCACCGCATGCGTTCTACACTTAGATTCTGCTGTTGTTTTGTATGACGAATATAGTGTAAGTGTGAATAAGGCAGAAAAAGAGCGAACGCATAGCGTGAGCGATACGTACACCGCAGAATCGAAGGGTATTTTTTCTCTTGAGTGATCTCTCGTTTATGAACCAATTCGTGGTAGTTCCAGCACACAAGCTGACGATTGTAATCCTATTTGTTGTGATTCAGTTGTTGAAGTCGCATAGCATACGGTTCATCGCCACCGCTGTGCAACCCTCGTGACAGAACCCGTGATTTTGATTAATTGTGTCTACGTTGATCTATGGTAAATTCCAAGAGTTGACTTGATTTGCTATTTGTGATGAGAGCATTTTACATATTCCTGACCATCATTACAGTTGAATGAATAATTAATTTACTGTAATTTATAAGTAAATGTAAACAGTTTATTTATGTTCCGTAGTAAAATCGATGTGACGTCGTGATTACCTATTATTAGCACCAAACTAGCGGCGCTAAAACTTCAAATATATTGAATGTATAAAATTTTACAGTTTAATCTTGACAAAATAACATAATGAATTTTTATTTACTTTTGTATTCATAAATCAAGTACATGATAAAGAGAAACCTGTTCAAATTTAGATTTGGATCTACTTAAAAAAATGCAATCTAATTCCGAACGGGGGGGAAACCTATAAACAAGTCGAGATTAGAAATGTAAAGTGTATGAAGTGTGGACATTTAGTATATTGTGATAAGATTGTAACAATAAGGAATGAACCATACAATAACACTTGAATATCAATCAGTTGTTCGATTGACTGTCTACGCTGAGCAGTGCGGTTCTTTCTCAGCTAATCAACCGACGATTTTATTTCTATTTGCAGAAATGACAATACAAACAGTTGATTTATTCTATGGTAAATGAAAGGTTACTGTGTATTTTGCATATTACGTGTTCGACAAACTCTTCTTCTACCCTACAAATTCGACATGGATAATCCAGCGCCGTCAACATTGTTGATTGACCAGGACGTCAAGGATGGAAAAAATGATGATCAATCAACAGCAAAGCCACAGGAAATTAGTAAATTTCGTCGCTACTTACCTCAAGTAAAATCGAAAATTTTCCAACCGAATTCCAAATGAACGCATCAGAATAAAAACAACGTCTGATGTGCTCGCGTATCGAAGCACTCACAATATTTGCGCATCAAAACGAAACAAAATTTTATTATTATATGAATGCAGATTACTGTAATCAACGTATATTGCACGTAAAGTGTCTTTGTGCATAAATACGTTCCTCATTCAAATAACGATACACATTTACTTCGTTTTGGTGCGCAAATATTTTGAGTTGCACTTCGATTCGAGAGCGTATCATAAGTTGTTTCTATTCCAATGCATTCAAATGGTCATAAATTCCAATGATTTATCACATCATTTGCTAGGTGGTGGCGACGATGGCAAGGAATTTGATCACAGTAAACACTGGCTTATTTGAAGGCTTGCCAACACTCATCATTCCATCTGTGCTCGGATTGAGCACGAGACTCAATTCCGATGAAATGCTTCAAATAGATCCGTCTCAGGCATCATGGATAGGCAATTAAATTGAAATAAAATTTGAGCTCATTTCCACAAAATTAATAAATAATTTTCCCAACAAACAAACAAAACAGCAAGTTTTGCGAGTCTGGCACATCCACTCGGATCCATTGCCGGATGGTTGTTGAACGATTCAATTGGACGAAGGAAATCATTACAGATAGCAAGCATTCCGTTTATTATCGCTTGGATTATACTCGGTTGGTTTGCCAATTCAATTTCAGCCATTAATGTAGCATTTTTAATAATGGGCCTGGGATTTGGGCTTAAAGAAGCATCATCGTTAACATATACGGGTGAAGTGTGGTAAATACGATACATTGATAATAAGACGAATACCATTGATTTCAAGAGATATTCTTAATAGCGAAACATCAATTCGAGGAGTTATGTTGGCCACAGCTGGCATTTTTGCTTCAATGGGTTACTTCCTAGTTTATTCGATGGGAGCCTTTTTATCGTGGCGAAACGTTGCAAAGATCTGTATCAGTGTGCCCATTTGTATATTCACCGCCGTATCTTTCATACCGGAAACACCAATTTGGCTATTGTCAAAGAATCGCCAGAAAGAAGCCCAAAAGTCATTGCAGTGGCTACGCGGCTGTGTGACCTCAGAAATGGTGCATGAAGAGTATCAACAACTTCAAGAGTATTGCATTGTGTCGAATTCTTGTGTGAATTGTGCAAAACAAACAATCAAATGTGAACACACGGAGAGTCTTAATGACAAACTCAAGCAAATTACTCGCCGCCGAATAATAAAACCATTCATTTTGATAACGTCACTTCAGTTTTTCCTACAATTTTGTGCGATTAATTCGTGGCGACCGTACATGATTCAAATACTAAAAGCCTATACCGTGCGATGGGATGGGAATATGGTGACGGTGGTTTTGAGTTCGCTTGGATTTGTAGGAAGACTCATCTTATTGCCAATTTTAAAAACGATGGGAAAGCGAAGAATTTACCTTGCTTCATCTTTGGTGACATTCTTATGCTGTTTTGGACTAAGTTAGTCGTTCGTTCTTCTCTTGGTTTGGAAACATATGGGAACACAATTCAAAATAAAAATTTATCAAATTTTTTTTCTCATAGGTGCGATTGGTTTTACATTCTTTCCTTCAACGGATTGGTCATCATTTGAAATGGCTTCGCCGTCGAGTGCGTCGAACAGTACGATTACGTCCTCAAGTATGAATGCAACTGCTCTTCGAGAATCAGTGGGAAATTATAGCTATTTGGCGTTGGCATTGATTTTGATTATGCAATTTGCCGTGAATAGTGGCATTTCAATGGTTCCATTTATTCTTATCAGCGAAGTGTTTCCATTCAAGTAATTAAATTATTGAATACAATTCAATTGAAATGGCCAACAAATACGTGTGGCATTTGTTCCATCAAATCAAAGTTAATACAAGTGTTATGAAATTTTAGGCTACGTTCCATGCTGTGCAGCATCACAACAACCGATCGATACATTTTTGTAGCAATTTCTAGCAAAATCTATTACAATATTGAGACATGGTTTTCTTTACCTGGCGCCGCCGCATTTTATGGCTTCATCAGTCTTACCGGGTATACTTACTTAGATACCGAATTTAACATTTTCCATGAAACACACAAAGTTATTTTGGATTGTATTTCAGCTTCATTGTGATGTACCTGATTTTACCTGAAACAGAAGGCCGATCATTGCAAGATATTGAAATTCATTTTTCAGACAATTCTCGACGAATCACCGATATTCAAATCAGAAGAAATCAACCGGATTGCGAAATTACAAAATGAATGAATGCTGAATTAAAAACACGACAATAAATGGCCTATGAAGCATATTTCATCAATTTTTCGATCGACCATCGCAGAAGTTTATACAAATTATTTATTATGTACACTATCTTCGAAATTGGATTGATTTTGGTTGCGATTTTTTGTTTTATTATTAGTTTGGCCAGTTTTGATGATGAAACATACAATGCTTGATCACCTTTCACTTTTCCATTCGTATGCATCGTTTTCACAAACGACCAACGCGCGTAGACACGCACACATTAAAGTATAAGTCGTAGTTTTGAGTATTCATACGGCTCAATGGTCTAGTGGTATGATTCTCGCTTTGGGTGCGAGAGGTCCAGGGTTCAATTCCCTGTTGAGCCCTCTGTTGCATACAATTTTTTTTTTCTCACTACAGTTGTTTTTTTATCTTCCATTCTCTTCTCTTCTCAAATAGTTTATGTCATATGTATGAAAAAATATATTTTTTTTTAAATGATAGAATTCTATTTACAAGAAAATGCGTAAAAATAAGCGTTTGTTCTCCAAGACCTTATATTGTCAGAAATGCTAAATTAATTTAATAGGTGTCGTTTGTAAACTATATTTTCATATTGTGTATAAATCGCGGCTCTTTATTGACTGAAAAGGAGTCATGTTCAGTGAAATAAAATTAAAAGTCTTTGGTTTTAACTCAAACCATTTCTTTTTTTAATTCGAAAAAACGTTATCGAATGCATTTCGAGACGTGCGATGTCTCATCATCAGCAAGGCGAATAAATGACTAAATAAAATAGATACAAAACAGTATTTCGTTTACATGTAATAGTATCGGTGAAGAGAGATAAATAGTTTACAATATTCATTTCGATGTGATGAGAAGAAAGTAAGAAAGAGATCGAAGTAAAAACAAAACAAATACATACAAAGAAATTAGCTATTTACTAGTATATATTTATATTTTCATAGCTGCTGTTCATTGCTAAACTGACTAGCGACATTTCTTTGATATTTACATTATTAATAATTGGTACATTTTTGAATTTTTGTTATCAAAAGTAATTGAAAATCTCTTCCATTAAACAACTGAATTAAATTAAATATATGGGAAACTGTCTTATCTTTTCTATGAGATATGATGCATCGTAACACTCCATCGTTGATTAAACGCTGTCATTTGGAACAATTCAGTTTTTCTTCATTGAAACTATAAAAAAAAGAAGTTGGAAATAAACCAACACAACATACTGTAACACTTCATGAAAATTGAATAGAATAAAAATCCATTCGACGTGAAACTAAAGCACACAATTCAACACATGTATCCTTTTCTGTGCCTCCCAATTTCAATGTATTCAACACATTCGCATCTATAATATAATCAATGTGAACAGCATTTGAAACGTGAAACGGAAGCTATGAATGCTAGTTTCATGAAGCGCTCGATGTGCACACGACTGACTCTATATTAAAAAGGTAAAATGTTGAAGCGAAAAAAACGAAACCGATAAAAAAGACGTGCAGAAAATAAATAAAAATAAATGAATGTGAAAAATTGCCGGAAAGAAGCCGCACATTGAAGAGCGTGTGCGTGAGTGTGATTGGAGCGTTGTCGCTTTTTGTTTGGTTCGGGTTTTATTGCATCGCAAACCGTTTGTTACCTTCTGAAAGAGCAGACATCTCTTTGAATAAGCATCGATGAATAATCGTTGGGTGGCGTAAAAAAAAGAGGAGACGTCGGTGTCGTAAACGAGAGGCGACATAGAATCAAATCAAAGCGCTGATCTGGGCACTTGGGCCAGTTTGTTTCCTTCTGGGAGGGGGAACGTTCAATAAGATGCCATATTGATGCGCAATCTTGTGTGCTGTTTTTCATTTCGACGACGTCAATGCGATTCCAGTGGGACACGTTTCAATCAATCAATCATTCGTTCCGTTCTGCTTTTACCCTTAAACTGGTTTATGTCGTCTGCGTGAATTTCATAATTTCAACCTTTTTACGTTTTTATGTATTTCACACATTCGTTTTGAGTTGTTTCTGTGCGTCATGCGAACCCCTTTCTTCGATTCGATTATGATATGCTGTTACATTTTTCTTCAGGTATTCCTGATCATAACACAGCATAGGTATGCAGCATAGAAAACAACTCCAGCACGAGATACCAATTCATTCGAGGAGAATGGTTCTAAACCATGTAAAAATAACCCCAATTTTGATTTGACGTCTCTAACCTGCTGATTGAAGGAGCAAGAGTAGAAGCGACGATGAGTGGTGAACAACAGCACATCGAAGTTGACCTGTGTGAGTTTGTGAATATCTGAATGGATGTTCCAACAAATCTGACACTCGATTTACATCCTCAACAAACAAATGGTCTTTCACCTTGGAGAGAAAATCAAGAGTAACATTAAACGCGCCAGACGACAAACAAAAAAAAAATCATAAATATCCGATAACAATCCTCCGTAATCAAACCACCTACGACGATTGGGATCGATCATTCCATCCCACGCGTCGTAAAAGTTTTATTAACTTTTAAATTGCACTGAAATTTGCAACCATATTTTTTGCCAAAGGATTCATTTTACAACGACACAAACCAGAAACCACATCTCCAGTAGCAACAAGAGCAAAAAAAACGTGTGAGCATGTCAACAAAATACGTATACTTCTATTAAAACGAAACTAGATGCTTGAGATAGCATGTCATGCATGCTACGTGTTTTCCCTTGTGGTAAAAATATGTTTTCGAAATCATTTGACTAATAGTTTTGTCGTTTAACTGATAAAAACCCAACTAAATCAATGAAATGTTCCCAGAGCGATGCGCAGCCATAAAATCTCAGTTGAGATTGAAATTGGAGCCGTTGTTTGTTGTTTTTCTTTTTTCGGGATAAAAAGTATGTCATCTGTATGAGTGCTTTACATCGAATAAAATGTCGATAAAATGTTACGTGCATTTCTATTTGCAAATCGATGTGAAAATTTGTTCAATTTTATGCACGTCTCATCACAAACGATCACTTTCATTGAATGCACGTAAAATATATATGTATGACACTACGACACTACGACATAGATAGCGTATAAATTATATAGCATTTCAATGGAAGGTAAATGCAAAAATGAAACCTGATGGGATGCGTGCATGCGTTTGCATAAAACATCATGAGCGTGTTTTCGATTTTTATACTATGCCAAAAGGAATATAAACCACATGTAAAATAGAAATACATCAGATCGATTCAGAATTTCATAGAACCAGCACACCCATGCATGCTTCATTTTTCAAACACATGTAAATACGTCTGCACAATGCACATCAACTGATTTTTGTTTACCACCATTTGATGACCAAGCACACCATGCTGAAAATGCTGCGCTGCAAATGCAACACGAATTCATAAAGTGAACGGTGAACATGGTGCATCGTAACGAGAAATTATTCACAATTGTATGTTGTATGGTTAGATAGCTTTGACAGAATTACAGTGTTTTCACTGCATAAACACTCTGCACACATTTTGTTGGAGTGACGAATTGCTAGATTCATTTCGTAGCGAATGATAAATGGTTTGCTAAAGCAAATATTATGCATGCGAGTAAGCGACGTGTGGTTTGTTACTTTTGCGGAAATAAATGTATGAAAACTATACTGTATTTACTTTAGAAAAATTGCTTTAGATTTGAAACATTGTAAAACCTAAACTATTCATTATTCTGCATCGAACTCATTTTCACACACGAATGATAATAACAGTGATGATGACTTGATTGTGTGCTCCATGCAACACACTGGCACACGCTTGTAACATAAAAGTTCAATATTCTCAATTCGATGAAAGTCGAAGTGCGGGGCAAAATATTTGTCGCAATTCCATAAATTAACACTTGCACTCTCGGTATTCGGGAGTTGAATTCAAAGCACACATACGACAAGAAAAAATTTAAATGATGTTTTTTTTTTTCAATCTTTTAATTGCTCTTTTCGTCTTTTTGAAATCGGCCCTTTTACAAAAATGTCTGTCTGCCTTCGCCCATCCGTCTTCTTCTTTTCCTCTTTTTCTATGTTTTCAAAAATTAAAAACACCAACAGTGGTGGTGCCACAGTGTTTGTCGTTAATTACATTTTCGAATTGTTCCATTTTTTTCGCTGAAAATGGAATATGAAAATCGAATAACCATATCCAAATGCTAACTAATAACCATATCCGTTAGCGTCAATTGTTTTCAAGTGGTTGTTGCGATCAGTCTCAGCTTTAACTCAAATCTATACCAGCTCTTTACTGAAATCTATACCTGAATTCACCTTGGACATATGTATATATTTGTACTTTAAAGTGTAGTGGGAAATTGTTTCTTTTTTTAATTGTGCGATTAACTCAAATCGAAAATGTGGCCATTTTTATTGATTCCATTGATCATTTTGGTGTGCGTTTATTGACAAATAGCAACAACGCAACCAAAATTGCATCCACCAGGTAAATTAAAATATTATACAATTGAATGCAACAAGTTTTGTGGTGAAATGTGGGACTAGTTCAAAGTTTTACTGATATTCTCAATTTGTAGCTCCAATACAAAACAAAATGCTTTTTCTTTCGTTTACACATTTAAAAAATTGATATAATATATTTTTTTCTAAACTATTTGAATTCATGTTTCAGGTCCAAGATGGTTACCTGTCTTTGGAAATTCGATGCTTCTTCGTAACGAAGCCAGAAAACGTGGTACTCAAACAGAGGTGTTTCGAGCTTGGAAGAAAAAAATACAAAACCTCAATTCTTGGCCTCAAAATGGGACTATTCAGTTATTCATAAAATTTATACATGCAATGCATTGGACGGCCCGACAATTTCTTCATTCGTTTGCGAACGATGGGCTCCAGGTAATTATTGTTTTAGCGAAATTTTTCATTTAAAATTCATCGGTCGACCGAATTTTTTGCAACAATCCTTTGAATGTTCCCTTTTTTTCTTCAACTGTGTTTCTGTTTATTTTCAATTGCAGATTGGGAATTACCAGTACTGATGGATCGCTTTGGGCCGAGTAAAGGCATTTCAATTTACGTCATTTGAATCGATATGCCTGCGGTGCAATGGAAGAATTGATACAAAATGAGCTAAATGAAATGCTGCAAGTGATTGATAACAACCATGAAAAGCCCGTTCAACCAGGGAAATTGCTTGCTATTAATGTTGAATGTGCTGTGGAATTTGACAGCCGGAAGAAAAGCTTCAAATGGTGCAAAATTAACATGTTTATTGGATCTAATGGGAGAAAGGAGCAAAGCGTTCGATATGTCTGGTGGCTGGTTGAACACAGTGCCATTCTTACGGTTCATTGCACCGGAAAAGACATCGTACAATTTAATCAAACGATTCAACGCTGAACTGTACAACTTTTTCAAACCAATTATCGATGAGCATAAGGAGGAGTTCATTGAGGATAGAATCGATGAGGATTTGATTTTTGCTTTTATCAATGAAATGAAACAAAACGAAGGCATTCCATCGAACTTCACCGACACTCAGCTGATTATGGTGATTTTAGATTTCTTCATTGCCGGCGCGCAAACAACAACGCAGCGCTTGTACAGCATCATTCCAGTGTCGAGACTTCGACGTGTTGTGCGTGATACAGAGATTAATAGATACATTTTGCCAAAGAACACAACCGTCTGGGTTAGTATGGAATTAGTTCACATGGACACCGAGTACTGGGGCGATCCATACGTGTTTCGACCGGAACGATTTTTAGATGCCAACAAAAATCTGGTAAACACCGAACCATTACATATGCAAAAGGCAAGCGAAAATGTTTAGGTGAATCCGTTGCCCGAGCCGCTTTATTCATGTTTACCGTGGGAATTCTGCAAAAATTCACTGTCGATAAGCCACCAAATGGAAAAATGCTTGACCAAAAGGCTTAAAGTACCGGATTACTCACCGCTCCGACACCATATGAATTAGTATTCAAACGCCGCTAGTGCCGAAATTCGCGCTTTATTTCTCGAATTTATGCGAATTAAACTGCACAACACAATACACAATAGTAGAATTCCACTAATCAAAGCCAGTTAATTCATTCGGGAGCTAAATATATTCGCTCCTTCGACACTATAACATAGTATATACAACGAAATTCTTTATATTAAATAATATCAGCTAAATAGCATGTGTGTAGCATGTGTGCGACCAACACATCCATTTCATTGTCATATATCTTTACATATATATGTATTGGTCACTCTACTTATCACCATTTAACCGGTAGCGATTGTATGCGAGTGTGTAAATTGAATGAAAGACACAAACACACTTCAACGCCGCCGGCACATACACACATTTGTCGAATTCATTGATAGAATAACTTTTATAGAATAGTATAGAACAAACATGCCGATTATTTGATTAAATGCTCAATTGTGAAATGACCGCATGTTTTAATGTCGGAGTCTTGGTTCTATAGTGTAAGCGGCAGCACGTTCATCGTTTTACTCTTGCTAATTTTCTTTCACATTTCGTTTTTATGTTCAATTTTTGCGATCACGAGACATACACAAATTTGCAAAAGTTTTGAATTTAAAAGGTCCACATTGTATTCAATATATTTTAAATTGATAAGGATAATATTAAATCGAAAAGATAATAATTTACGATGATAATCGCCCATTCAAATAAGCGTGTAAAATCAATGAGCATCGTGTGAAACTCATTTGGTCCAAATATAACCAACAACTTCATAACATGTTGAATTTTGACATTTAATTGATAAAGTGAACTAGAACCAGTTTGAAAAATAAAGGAAATAACTATAAAACATTCAATAATAATACTGGGCTAAAATAGGGGGATCCAAATGATTAGATAAATATTTAGTTTGTTAGCATAACCAGTATTAGTTAATCAGCTGCTGTCATTGCGTAATATCGCATTTACTTGTGTAAATAAACCCGAAATCTATTTCCGACATCAACTTTAGTTTCATTATTACTACAGACTTCAAGCCAATCGGAACGCTTCTCTCGAATAGTAATGTGATGTGATGTGCAAAGGCGATTTGTGAACAAAACTATTTACAGTGCAACAGTGAAGACAATTATTATTATCAATTACTCGAGACGTGTGCTTTCGTTCTAAACATTATTGTGACGAATTTTTTCCATTTAGAGCAATGTTGCAATTTTTATTGGTTGCACTTTTAGTTTTATTGTACACATATTGGCGAATTGCTACAAAACGACCAAAATTATATCCTCCAGGTAATTTAATAGTTTACTCAGCATAAATTTTCAATTATTTCTATTTCTGATTAATTTTGTTGTGATTAAAATTGCGATTAAACTTGACGTTCGAATGATTTGCCTTCACTACGCTCAGAACCAGCTGTTCAATAGAATTTGTGTTGAGTGTTTCATTTTTAGAATGCCGCATTATAAATCATGCGTTGCTTTCTTATCTTGTATAGCAACTGTAACGTATTAAAATGTATTTAAAAACTTATCGTATAGTAAAATCAACACGATTTATATGCACCGAGATCACAGATCTTCGCTCAATATTGTGTTCTTTTTTCTTCATGAATACCTTTAGTTTGTTTCACAGCGAACTATGAAATTCACACTACATGAAATGCAGATTTAGAATTCTTTCGTTTCAGCAAAAAAGAACGGTTGAAAAATGGTATTCATTTTCTGTGAGATTATTTAAGTCGGGCTTCAATGTGCATAGTTTACAACGAAGTTCAGATTCCAAAAAGTTATCGACTATTAGATAATATTTTATAATAACATTACGGTATGTAAAATTCGAAAATGAAGTATTGGATATGGAACAGAACATAAAAAGGAATTTTGTACAATCTCTTTGAGTACTAAGGAAAATATAACCAGATAGCAAACGTCTCTAACATTCGTTTCAATTGGTAAACCAATTTCTTCATTTATCATTGAAATTTCGAATTCCAAGTGAGTCTTCTTTGTACCTTTGAAAAGATGTGATAACGTTAAAAATAATACATTGATATAGAAACACGATTCGACAATCGACAAACATGCATGACGATTCATGTATATGAATAAAAAAGAAAACATGAGGGCATAATCATAATTTTATCAAATGCTTATGTTTAAAACGTAACGCGTGGCCACAAGTGGCCAATAATTTGGACAGCACTGCATTATAACACATTTTATTTTATTAATTAATTTTTGTTTTTTGTCATCAGGTCCAAAATGGTTACCAATTATTGGGAATACATTGTTGCTACGTAGCGAAACTCGGCGATATGGTAGACAAATCGATGTGTTTCGAGCTTGGAAAGAGAAATACAACAGCTCCGTCATTGGCCTGAAATTGGGAAGTGAACTGGTGGTGGTTGCACTAGATTATCCAATTATTCACAAAATTCACACGAGCAGTGAGTTTGATGGACGTCCCGACAATTTCTTTCTCCGTCTGCGCACAATGGGATCAAGGTCATATTTAATTTCGATTTTATTTTGACCATATTTGTATTTCGTTCGACAAATTTGGACACAAAATGTCAAATTGCGTCAACGATGTTTTTCAGTGTTTACGTTTGAAACGGTGAAAATGAATTTTTGATTATACATTTCAGATTGGGAATCACATGTACGGATGGCGAACTATGGTCTGAACAAAGAAATTTCGTATCACGACATTTGCGTCGATCGGGATACGGTCGTAATGCGATGGAAGAGTTGATCCAACACGAATTGAACGAACTGATTGAAGTGATTGGAACATTTGCCGAAAAACCAGTGTGGCCGTGCAACTTTCTGTCGATCAGTGTGTTGAATGTGCTGTGGACTTTTACCGCTGGCAAGAAGATTTCAAGTAATGAAAATTTGGCACATTTACTGGAGCTAATGAAACAAAGGAGCAAAGCGTTCGATATGTCTGGTGGATGGCTGAACACAATGCCATTCCTGCGATTCATTGCACCGGAACGGACATCGTACAATTTGATTAGGCGATTCAATATTGAGCTATGTAATTTCTTCAAGCCAATTATTGAGGAACATAAAAACGAATTCGGCGTGAATAGAGTTGATGAAGATTTAATTTTCGCTTTTATCAATGAAATGAAACAAAATGAGGGCGTTTCGTCGAACTTTACCGACACGCAGCTTATCATGGTGATTTTGGATTTGTTTATCGCTGGTGCGCAAAGCACTAGCAACACAATGGACTTTATTATGATGTCATTGGTGATGAATGATGAAATCCAGAAAAAGTGTCACAAAGAAATCGATGCTGTGCTGAGTGCCAACGAACTCCCATCGCTGAAAGATAAACCGAAATTGGCCTATATTGAAGCCTTAATATTGGAAACACAGCGATTTTATAATATAGTGGCAGTGTCGGGACCGCGTCGTGTTCTAAGAGAAACCAAACTGGGTGGATATCGGCTGCCAAAAAATACAACCGTATTGATGGGATTGGAAACGATTCACATGGACACGGCACATTGGGGCGATCCACACGTATTTCGACCGGAGAGATTCTTAGATGCAGACAATAAAATTACAAACACAGAGAGATTCGTTGCATTTGGACAGGGCAAACGGAAATGTTTAGGCGAAGCACTTGCTCGAGCCTCTTTATTCATATTTACCGTAGGGATTCTACAAAAATTCAAGTTAGAAATTCCACCAAATGGGCAGATGCCAGAAAAACGAGCACAGGCCGGTCTTCTTACAACTCCAACACCCTATGAAATAGTATTCAAATGCCGTTGACACCTTTGAAATAGCATATCAATAAAAGTGCTATAAAAATAGAATGAAACCGTTTCACAGCTCAATATTACAATAACAAATGACGAACTAATTACCAGTTGTAGAATTTAGTTAATATTGCATTAAACTGTGTCTTTTGAAAACTATGCAAACCTTGGCTAGTTGATCAACGGGTTGGAACATGATCAAAAGAGTTACGATAGGATTTATAAATTTTACAATGAACTAATTTATCCAATAAACCAGTAGAACATTCAACATCCAATTTATTTTCATTTTTGACTGAAATTTGCATTTTTTCCATTTCACAATATGTGGTTGAACAAAACAAAAAATCGGGATTCGGATGTAACGCAAAGGTAAAGTGATGATCATTTGTTTTTACATTGTAACAATTGTACAGTTGAGCCTAATAGGGAAATGGAATTCAGGTTAAAACCAAATGGACAAAATGGTAACAATAAAATCCCTGCCTATTTGCGTATTGTTTCGCTAAAAATGTTTTGAATAATTGAAAATGTGAACATGAATCATTCCCATGACATTTCAGCACTGTGTAAAAACAACCTGACATAATGTCGTGTGTCTCTTTTGGTGTGTTATTTTTATTTATTTATGTGCTATAGGTAAGAACAATTCGTTCATTTGATTTAATATTTATGTATTTTGGAAGCGAGCGTTTTTTTTGTTGTTACTCTTTTCTCTCGTTTTTCTCGATTCACAAATTCATTTAAGCTCTTCAACGACACATATTCACATTTAAAACGATGGCCATGCATGTAAAACCACATAAGCGCTCATAATGGTCGTCGGCTTGTCCCCGATATGCAATATTTTTGTGTAGGAAAAAACCAAAGTGGAAGAATTGACAACGTAATGCTGACGATGCGACAGAATCTATGAAACAAAAAAATTCCACACAAAATAAATCCATATTTTAAATCCGTTCTTTTTTCTTCGGTTGCTGTACTTTGTTTGGGCATCAGCATCCATTTCTCGTGTGAATAAAGTAAATGGTTGATGCAATAAAATTGCACAGTTGAACGAACAGACTTTTTTTGGGAGCGCGTGTGAGATGTGGCATCACTGCTTCCGTGTTAGTGGTAAATGATGAAAAAAAAAAGACGAGTGCATAGTGAATTTGGATGTGGAAATGTAAAAACGTAATAAAAATAAACAAATGTCATTTGTTGCCCAGAAGGGAGCGGTGTCGTCGAGGGGCGGAAAAATCTGTCAAAACTCAATTTTGTCACGTCACAAGTTATTCCAAACTCTGTAAAAGATCATTGTTTCAATCGAGTCACCGAAAACGGGCAACACTTCCATACTGCACGCTTATTCAAGCTGCTTATTCAATGCATACGTTGAGTTTGACTACATGGAATCCGATTGTGTTGTGTTACCACAAACATCAATCGTGTATTGGATTTGAATGTGCTCAAGCGGAAAGCGCACATAACCAGTGCAAACAAACCCCCCCCCCCACACACACACACAGACACACACCAAAGAAGATAGAAGCAAAATAAAACATGGAAACTAAAACTAAAACTTAAACATATAAACAGAAATAGTTGCCAGTTTTGTATGAATATATCATATGAAAGTAAATAGAATCAGGGTTCTATTCCGATCCGTTCAATGCTCGAGGCAAATAAAAAACTTTGTGATTTGCCTGCAAAATCAAAACTATATTTGCCTTCGAGTGGATACTTCTGTCTTCCACACATGCAACAAAACCCGATGGTTTTAGATTTATTTTGAAATCGATGGCAAACACAAGCAAGAGAATAAAACACTTTTCAAGTCTGCATGAGCGGTAGCATCGTCCCATGAATTTCAATAAAATATATATTTCACAATAGAACAAAATAACGGAACAAAAACCAATCGATGAAACTGATGAAAAACCGAATACACTTCCGATTTATATGAATATTTACTTAGTGCATTATGATGATTTCGGCCATGGTTTTTTTGTCATTTCATTTGTTTGTATGTGTGTGTGTGTACGTTTGGAAAATCTGATTTAAGTTGTATGGAAAGTATCACAACAAATATTGATATCATTTATTTGCTGTTGTTTTCCATTTATTTGGCAACGGGGGGAGCCATGGTTGGCAAAACTAATAAAAAATAATGGAATAAAATTAAATTTTGACCATGTATGATTTGCAATCGAAATTAGTTCAGATTAAATTTTAAGCATTGTTTACTAATCCGCTCTCTGCATTTGGAAACGAACCGAACTGAACTGATTCCAAAAGTTAATTTGCTTTTATTTTCGAACCGATTAATTTTTGTGTGCGCTGTGAAACGAACGATTATAGCGGGTATTTGTGCAGTGCAACTATACTCACTTGACCATGGCTCAGTTCTTGGTGCATGATTCCCATTAAATCCAATGGCTACCGCCATAACTGTAATCGAATTAACATAATTTTTTTATGGCAAATAAAAGTCTAGTGTGTTTTTTCCGCGTCTACCTTTTACAAGCAATTAAGAACACAAAAATGAGAATGCACATTGTTCGTGGGATTAAAATCATAATCGAAATTTAAGGCGATTTATTTGTTATTCCCTATTCTCGGTGGTCGTTTCAATTAATCTAAGTTAAGAAATGGTTTTGAAATTGAGCGTCGAATATCAATGTCTACTTCTGGATCGATAACTTCGTATTGTCGTCTTCTTCCGATTATCGGCGTTGGATTCGATGGTGCTGGCTCAGCTGCTGAGTCTGCCAAATTTGAAGCTGATATTTCGGCGCTGGTTGTCTCAGACAAGCGGATTGAACTTTGATTGTTTATTGATTTTGGTGAACTTTGCCGAAATGTGCCAATTTGTTGTGGCTGATGTGTGTCGTCGTTGGGCTCTTGCAAAAATCTGTCAAATGCCATAACTTGTTGTGGCTTTTGTGATAAGTTTTCCTCATTGTTGGCTTTGAACTCATTTAAAATGTTTGTGTGAAATACTTGACGAAATGGTCCGCTTTGTGTCGACTTATACGTATCCAAATTCTTGGAATATTCGTCACCAAATTGATGTCGAACGACCGCATTGAATCCATTTGAGTTGGCTATATACTCTACAAATCGACTGACTCCGCTCGGTTCGATCACAAAATAAGCGCCTTTCACATCATTTTTCACACGTTGCTCAGTGTGTTGCTTAATGTCACCCGTTTGAATTGCGTTCACTTTATAACCGAATCGATAAAATGCCTCATCGTTATTATGCTCAATCGGTCGGTATGAACCGTCATCGTCGAATGATTTTGATCCGATTCGATTCAAGTCGTACACAGTAACACAGAGACATATTCCCAACAGTGTGAATAAAATGAAAGCATTCGCAAATATCTATGTGAATAAGATAGAGGCAGAATTTTAGTCAAAGAAGAAGAAGGAACACAAAATTCATGTACGAAATATTCCCTTTAAAGCTTTTCATACCTTTATTGCGCCTGTTATCATCCTGTCGGTTTCAGTTCAGTTGTACGATAGCAAAATGTGTAAATTGAAATAAAAACATTAAATTCTATGTGATTCTAATAAAAGTTGTTGCGACTTCGTTCGTCTAACACTTAATGAAAATGAATCTTTCAACGTAATTCCCTTTATATGGCTTTTTGAATGCCAAATTCAAACGAAAAAAGAACAACGTGTTCGGCTCACAAAATTTGCATATTTTTCAGATTGAAATAATAATAAATCACCGACATAAATCGATATTATTCTGTTCTAATTTAACACAGACGTTTACAAAATACTCTTCCAAAGGCTTAACGGCTTCCACACTTTTGAAATTGATTTCGGGTACGGAAGAAAAATCCATAAAACCCATTGACTTTTTGTTGCGACAACATTTTTGTTTCCTATTCACTTCAATTTGGTTCTATTTTTGGAATTAAATCGAATTTATCGGCAATCTGATCGCGAGTTCCTTTTTTCTCTCTCTCTTTTTCTTTCCCATTAAATGGAGTTTTTATTATGACGAATCGAATTTGTCGAATGCACAAAACGTAAGCTTTGGATAGATGGTATGAGACTTAAATTCAGTTTCAACGAATCATGTTTCTATTTCACTTCATTAGACTTGACACGATTTTTGATTCTTGCAACCATTGAGCATTCACGTAATTCGACTAATAATGGACATTTCTATCTACTTCTGATCAATCATCTGCCCTTTTCAAAATCCATTTAGCAAAATGTGATACGAAATTCAGTTCACATTTTTTGTTCAATTCTATCAATATTCATTCATTTTTGCTCTTTCATAAAAGTGAATTAATATCTGCATCATCAATTTTCAAATGGATTGTTTTGCCCGTAGCTTTTGGATGAATTCCTTTGGATACTTTTATATTAACTATAAATGGTAATTAATGTAAGAAATAGTGATGAACATTACATCGTATCAAAAAGATTTGGCAGGCAAAATAGAGGTAATGCATGTGGTTTTGAATTGCTCGAGTTTTAAGGACGATAAAACAAGACTCTCAGCCAATTTTGAGCGATATCTCGTCTGGGCAAATTGAGTTTTTATCAAAAATGTTACCTAGCATGGAACAAACGAAGAAATTTTCAAAGAATGACTTTTCTGATCACATGAATTCTTCTGCTTGTAGCTAATAAGTAAAATATGAGAAATAAGAAAGACTCACAGTCATGACGTTGCGATCATGTCACGCTGCAACCAAAATTTACTGTGATAGCAAGATGAATATTTGGTAGACTGTTAAAAATGAGTGAAAACTTTGTTTATTGACATTTTCCTTCGACAAACTTTCTACTACTTATTTGACTTAGTATAACAGCGACAAAATTAATAATCTTGCATTTTTATACTTTATGCACATATGTATAGTGTCCATTTCATATGAATCATTTCAATTGGAAAATATTTGGTTTTCAATTTCCAAGACAGTACAAATAAACAAAAGTGAATTGGCTTTGTAAGCCAAAAGCGCAAAGTTTGTGATAAATGTGTTGATAGAGAGAGGGAGAGAGAGAGATCTTTGTGACATATTATCAGTTGTAACATTCTTTCTCACCTGTTTTATAGGTGCACTGGGCTAGCTCACTTTGCTGTTATGTGCATCACGTATGCATACAATGTTGCTGACGAAATGGCGTGTGGTGTTTCAAAAGGCAGTATTTTCACATCGTCTTAAACACAGAGTTTATCCATAATGAATGCATGCATGCAAGATGAGCACAAGTAATATCAATCAAATACTTTCGTTTATATATCTA